TAGTTGACTTCCAAGGTGACGCTGACGATGGAAACAAAAAGGCAGAAGAGGAACCACAGCAACCGCTTGAGGATACTGATAAGAGTCAGGAAGAAGAGACAAACAAGGAGAAGAGTGATAAGAGGGATCAAGCAAATGGAGCCAGTGACAAAAATGAAGGCGAAGGAATGGAAGAGGACGAAGAAGACGAATATGAGGTTGAGTCTATCGTGGATCATAAGAAAACCAAGGTAATACGTTGTCGATGTTATTAACATACTGTAGAAGTTGAGATATTCTTCGCCGGTAATATTAATGTATGAAGTGGTATTTTCTGAACAGGGTAGAATGAAGTATTACATCAAATGGAAAGGTACACGTGCCCACAGTCCTTTGCAATTTTATGTTTGCATACATAATTCATCAATTACTATCTGTTGAACGCGCTTTGAACACAAAAGGATATCCATCGGATGAAAACACATGGGAGTTCAGTGACAACCTGTAAGATGAGACATAGTTGTAACATTATAGTTGGCCATTTCATTCACTCAACTGATTTTTTTTTTTCGTTTAATCCGTACGATCCAGTAATTGCTCCGATCTTGTACAAGCATACTGGCTAGAGTCGAAAGAGAGAAATAACGTTAAAGATAAAAAGAAGAAACACAAGACCAAAGGGGGATCCTCGAAACGTTCAGAAACACCCGAACCTGTAGAAGAAAAAGATGCCAAGCGACAGCGAATTAGAGAGAGAACTGACGAGAATGATAAAACGCGTCGAAATCGAGCAAAGAACACAAGGGAGAAATCGGATAATGAAGAAGATGAGGATTGGGATAACCAAATTACTTCAGTTGAGACTGTAACGAGGGATGAAAAGTCAAATGAATTAATGGTTTATTTGCGTTGGTTAGTTTGATTGTATACATGCTGATTCTAGTACGGATTCTAAATTGAGCTAGTGTCAAAATTACTGTCGCGTAAGACTTACACTTTTAAATCTATTAATAGGAAGAATGGTGACACGTCTAAACATACCGCCAAGGAGGCTAATAGGAAGTGTCCCCAGAAAGTAAGCATATGGATGGAGAGTTTTGTTTTCATTTATTCGCGAAACTTTTATTGGATCACTCACATGATTTATTTATTTATATCTGAAAAGATGATAAAGTTCTATGAACAACGCTTGACATTTGCGCCCGCAGCAGATAAGAAGGCTTGAAGCTACTGCATATACATACAATCGATATGCGCAATACGTATTCGATGCGTCTCTAATAAGAGGAAAGCATTGTAACTTGATTGTTTTCCGCATATAATCTAGTGTAAATAGTACCCTGGATCACACGATATGAAGTTTTACTTGCTGATTTGAATCAGCTATTTCCGGACAATGTTCCGTCTTCATGATCGAACAGATTCGATTGTTATTACATAGTTTGATTTTACAATCGTGAATTCTCTAGCGTGCCGCTCACTTTTCTCGACAAGAACGCGTTTTTTAAGAATAAAGTAAGAGACAGACGTGTCGGCATATATGTATGAGTATCCTCAAGCGGTTGCTGTGGTTCCTCTTCTGCCTTTTTGTTTCCATCGTCAGCGTCACCTTGGAAGTCAACTA